TTATCATTATTGAGAAGGTTTAATTGATTATTTAAGGTCCATTTCCATTATATTAAAATACATTTAAGTTATTTATATTTTTAAATTGTTTTATATTGTTTGAATACTGTATTATATATGGATTTTAAATAAAAGTGTTTAAAGACTATATTATCAAGCAGAATATAATTATTATTCTATCTATCTATCTATCTATCTATTTATCTTAAAGTTTACAGATAGATTTTTCTGGTAGACTTACAGACATAAGTAGGAAACATTAAAATAAAGAAAGTTCCGTTAATAAAATACAGCTTTCATTGAATCCCATTTTGAGAGAAAGGCGGGATATACAATCCATAAATAAATAAATAAAATACATAATCAACATAAAATGTAAATAAAATACAACAGAGGAATAGCAACATGCAACACTAAATCAATTAAAAAACATATACAAATCCATATGCCTACAACAATATAAAACAATACTGTATATAACAATGTGATTTAAAAGGACTGGATTTTCTTTTTAATTGCTTGATACAGAACTATATTAAAATAGGTGTCAGTCCATTGAAACAGAGGAGCTGCCAATGGGAAGATACTCTGGCTATCTGCCATATCTTGCTTGATGATGCAAATTCTGAATGTAATAAATTATTATTTAAAGTGTTAATTTTTTAAAAAATGAGTATAGTGTAGTCTCCTTTTTATCTTTGCCTGCCCATCACATGAAGGATATACAGTCTCTTCCTCTTCCATCTGTTTTATTTATTTATTTACTTATCTATTTTATATCCCATTATCTGTCCGATGTGGGACCCAAGGCAGCTTATAATGTAAGTAAAAAGAAAATACATTTCAAGCAATGTATAGGACAGAGGTTTAAAATGATTCAATAAATAATTATTTATGGTTAAAATACATTTAAAGAGCTTACAATACATATAATTTATGTATTTTAAAGAGTTTACAATACATTTAAGACAAAATGGAGATAAAAGTACAGCACACTCCATCAAAAAACCCTTCTGCCACACTCAGGTCTTTTCTACTCCGGCCAAAAGGTCTGTTTCCCCCGTGTTCTGGTGTTATCCTGTTCACATAAAGCATGTCCCAAACCACAGTTCTGGTGCGAACAGTCCAGACAATGTCATGTGACTGTTGCTGGGTAACTCATTCTGACCTCAGAAGCAAGTGACCCAGACAGTCATGGTGACATGGGAACAGAGGCTGAATTAACAGGGGTATATAGGGGAAGATGTAGGGCTATGATACTTTGGGCTGCCACCGAACTATCCTGGCCAGTGCAGACAAAGCCCTAGTTAAAAACAAAAGATTTGTTTAAATTTTTAAAAAGTCTTTTCTGGCCAGAAATAGACACCGGGGGGGGGAGAGGCAATCTAGCTTTGCATGAGGGGGAATGCCACAGTGAGAGCAGCTGGTGGGAAGGCTCTCTTGTATCCTCACCAACAATATCTGTGATGGTGGTGAGACCAAAGGAAAACTCTCCTTTAAAGAAATAATGGGTAGAATCACAGAGCCATGCAGGAACACAGAATCAAAGCATCCCAACAGATGGCCATCCAGCCTCTGTTTAAAAGCTTCCAAAGAGAGAGATTTCACTGTCAGGAAAATGACATGGATATGACCACAAGGTGGAGCTGTAGGATGAAAAATGCAAGTAGCTCAGCTCCAGGAGCAGATGTGTGTGGGTTAGTAATTGGAAATATACACACCTGAGATGCC